ACTGCTCATATAATCGATTTTGTTCTTGTTGCTGATTGTTTTATACACTCATGTTTTAAAGGTTTTGTTGGATGTCTTATACAGTGGGCCCTATTAATTTGCTAGGGTTAGGGGCACAGGACCCCTGTGAAAGTGGAAAAACCACAAATAACAAAAACACTATATTTTTACCTTACAGAACACTTCTCTAGGAATCTCTAGGTCCTCTAGTGCAACCCTATGCTCAATATCTGCCAGACGTTGACCATAGAATAGCGCTGGAGGAGCTACAAATGCCTAGTGGATGTTCTCTCTAGAAATTTCAAGGTCCTTCAGTGTAACATTTTGTTAAAGTTGACCACAGAGTTGCACTGGAGGACATAGATATTCCTGGAGATCATATTAATACAATCCGTGAATAATCAGATCCACAAAAGTCAAATCTGCAAATGTGGAGGGATGATTGTACTTGTTAATCAACATGTAAATGCTTATGATTAGGAGATGATGACTAAGTATTTTACACAAACAAACAACACTCAATGTATTTTACATCAACAGATTTTGTTATGCTGAGATTAGCATATACCATTGGTCACCTTATCCAAGACAACCCAGAAGAAAACAATAAACATTATCACTCCCAGCACACCCATAATGTGTGGAAATAGTTAGTGAGTCTGAAGAGTAAGGAAACACAGCTTCTCCCATTGAATAATCATATGCAGCCTGAAACAGCATGGGAGCTGGGAGTATGTATGCAGCTGTATCTCCATTCTGTTCCACACCTCATATGTTCTGCTTTGGAGGTTCAGAGTCCTTGAACATCAGATTCAAAGGACTAAGAGCAACTGGCTGCTAGTTTGTTTCCTGGCACAATTCAAAGTGCTGGTTATGACCTATAAAGCCCTATGTGTCTTATGTCCAGACTATTTGGCAGATCATCTGAGATCATCAGGAGCAGCCCTTCTCTCAGTCCCACAGTTGGTGGGGACACAAGAGAAGAGGACCTTCTTGGTGGCTGCCCCTAGACTCTGGAAATCCCTTTCCAGGGAAGCCAGAATGGCTCCTTCTTTGTCCTTCCATCAGTAGGTTAAAACCTTTTTATTCTGACCGACTTTTAAAACAGAACGTTTAAAGAGAATGGGACAGGGAAGGGGGATGTATCATTTTAAACTAGATTGTTTTTAACAGCTTTTTACCTTAATAAAATTGCATTTTATTGTTGTAACTTGAGGTTTGAATTGTTTTAATACTGTGAATAGTTTACAGTTGGCCCTCCACATCTGCAGC